CAAACATTAAAAAAAAATTTTTTATAAGAATCTGGAAAATTCAGTTCCTTGGTTTTCTTTAAAGTTCAGGCATGGAAGGGCACCTGGGTGGCTCAGTCGGTTAAGCATCTGACTTTAGCTCAGGTCATGATCTCATAGCTTGTGGGTTTGAGCCTCAGGCTGTATGCTGACAGCTTAGAGCTGCTTCGGATTTTGTGTCTCCCTCTCTCTCTGCCCTTCCCCACTCGTGCTCTGTCTCTCTTAAAAATAAATAGATGTTAAAAAGAAAATAAAGTTCAGGCATGGAATTTGACATAGGTGCAGTACATTCACTTATACTCAGAAATGAACTTGAGAAAAGATGGTTGGCATACAATCTGTTTTGCTGGCAGTAATGGCAGAGTCAATTTACTGATTCACAAGTGGCACTGGTGTGGTGGCAGAAGCAGATGTAGTAAAATTTAGTTTCCAGCAGCATCTGAAATGTAGCATCTTTTGTTCCATGGTGATAGAAGTGATGGCAGTTTCTTGTAGGGGCCAACAGGCAGCAGCAGTTTTCATCATCAAGCCAGTTTTGTGGTATGGATTTGTACATTGTTCCTGGAAGCTTAGCCTTAAGCATGCCTGATTCTTAAGCCCTTACAATAATTGCATGAGTTAGACCAAAAACCTTTTTAATAAATGCCTTTTCTGCTTAATCAGCCAGAGTCAGCTTCTGTTACTTTTAACTAAGAACAACAGAAGTTGTTACCAAAAGTGAGGTGCTGTGCGATTAGTTGAATGCAAGGCAAAGACACAGGTGGATATGACTGTTATGGATCTCACCTTTACAGTCTTTAAGGCTGGTGGCCCTTGTTATATAGTGATGAAACATGAGGTAAGTGCCTCGTAGTGTTTCTTGAAACACACCGAGTACCAGCTGAAGCTATAGGAATAAGAGAAATAACCAGAATGTCATGGTGTTCTGGTTATATCTTCCTGCTTTCAGCAGAATATTGAAAAAGAGAATGAATGCAGATTAAGCTAGTTGCTACCAAGCAAAGATGGAAGGAAGTACTGTTTTGCTAAGGGCACTTTTCTGTCTGTGTCCTGATGGAGAATCCTATACTTTAGATTTAGAGTCTTGCAGTGTTGAAGATGAGAATTGCTCTTACCTACTAACACTATAGCCAATACAAGCCAGGGCTTTTGAGTTCTGACATGAAATAAGATCCTTGCCTCAAGCCATTCTCATTTGTCAGGCAAAGATCAGATATACGGTGCATTTACTCACTGGAGCCTATAGTTTTTCATTACTTTAAGAAATATGCATTAATCTAAGGATTGGGGAATGGGCAGAACATAGAGGCCATTACCAAAGAATGAAAATCTTCATGCTTAAAAACATATGACTACCTATACATGGAAATGACTAGAAAAAAAAAATAAATTTGGAGCTTATAAAGTTTTTAAATGAATTATATTGCCAAGAAACCCCAAGTCTGGCTAGCTCACTTCAACTCTTAAGGCCATCCCTGGACCCTTGAACACATATCAATAGCAAGTGGATTGTGAAAGCTTCACAGTCTCAACGAAGAGGATCTTCCCCAGTATCCCACCTCTGGACAAGGATGCCCCTAGCATACAGAACCAGGAGCCTTGAAGAAGAGAGGACAGGAGAAGGTCTTTTAGTCTCCCACAAAACAGGATAGGTGCTGCCAGATTGGCTAACTAGGGAATATATCGCTTGGCAAAAGCAAGAAGTCCTTGCTCTTCCTGTCCAGCAGGATTTAGGATTTGCTGTGGTACAGTGACTGCTGTGTTTCCTATTCCAGTTTTTCATTGCTGTGTCTATACTACCATGTGAGCCCTGGGTAGACCTAAGGGAAAGACTAGCACATCAGCCAGAAATACTTGATTTAAACCTGGTGGATAAGACTTTGGGGGTTGTAAATTGATATATTCTGTGTATGCACCAAAGGGTATATATTCATGTTGTGTAGACAGGAGGGTGGACAACTTGTATTCACTATCCATTCCTTCTTACTGGCTGAAAACTTTTGTTCAGGGTGCAGTGTGCCAAGACAAAAAAAAAAAAAAAAAGGTTATTTCTCAGGCGACAGGACACCTTTCTGGCCAACATAAGCAGTTGTGTACTGGATGTTGCTTGCAAGAAAGCTGTTGTTTTCCTGTTAAAAAGTCATAAACCAACCTAGCACTCACCTTTTGCCCTTTTCCCTTCTCCTTGCCTGGAGAGCAGATGTGATGTCACAGCAGCAGTAAAGACAAAAACCACGCATGAAGGATAGCACAACTGGAATGTAAAAAGAGCCTGGCTTCTTAGTGGTAGTAAAGACCCGTGGTAGCCCAGGACTGGCTTAATTCATATTTCTTGATATGTGAGAAAATTAAATCTCTTACTTTTTTAAACTACTGTTTGTTGTACTTTTGGTTAATGTCTTTTCCACCAGACTGTACTCTTTGAAGCCGAATAGGCTTTTTTTTTTTTAATTGAAGTATAATTGACATATAACATTATTAGTTTCATTTCTACAACATGATTCCATATTTGTACATATGGCAAAATGACCACCACAATAAGTCTAGTTAATGTCTGTCCTCTACATAGTTACAAATTGTTTTTCTTGAGATAAGGACTTTTAAGATGTACTCTTAGTAGCTTTCAAATACAGTATTATTAACTATTGTTACCATGCTGTCCTGAAAAGACTATTATATATTCATCTCTGCATCTTCATTTCATGATGTAATGTTCAGCATAAAATAGGCACATATATGTTTGATAAGTGAAACAATTTATTGCCATTGTTACTAAGTTAAAACCTAATCTATAGTTTGCTCTCTGGTGATACCTCCCAAGATTTGGTAAAAGCAGATGAGATATAAAATATTTATTTAACTGGTTTTCATTTCAGTAAGCCACATTTAAGACCTGGCTCATAAGAACATTATTTTTAGTTAGATCAGTTATATTTTCCTTTCGAATTAAATTTATTTTAGTGACAGCTTTTAGAAATTTTTTTTTTAGTAATTCAAATTTACAGAAAAGATGCAAGAGAAGTTGAAGGGTATGGATACTTCCTTTACTGAAATTTCACAAATGCTAACATTTACCACATTTGCTTTATTATTCCTCCCTCATTTTTTTCCTGGATGTTCTGACAGTACATTGCAGACATAATGCCTCTTTACCCCCAAATGATCATTTTAAAATCATGATAGCCCTCTAAGATTATATTTGGAGAAAGAGTGTATTTCTTAAAAATACTTTCATATATATTTGCTAAACTTGCAAGGAGATTCTTTTATAAAACCACAGTATAATTATCAAAACCACAGTATTAACATTGATACAACTGTATCATTTGCATGTTTTCATTTGTCCTAACTTGTCTTTCATAGCAGAAGAAAAAAATTTTCCTTCTGGTCTAGGATCCATTGAGGATCACACAAATAGCATTTAGTCACCATGTTTTTTAGTCTTTCTTAATCTGAAGCAATTCCTCAATCTTTCTATCTTTCATGACCATGATTTTTTTTGAGAGAGAGACAAAGACAGAGAGCACGAGTGGGGGAGAGGGGCAGAGGGGGAGAGAGAATTCTTTCAAAAAAAATTTTTTTTTTAATTTTTTTTTCAACGTTTATTTATTTTTTTGGGACAGAGAGAGACAGAGCATGAACGGGGGAGGGGCAGAGAGAGAGGGAGACACAGAATCGGAAACAGGCTCCAGGCTCGGGCCATCAGCCCAGAGCCTGACGCGGGGCTCGAACTCACGGACCGTGAGATCTTGACCTGGATGAAGTCGGACGCTTAACCGACTGCGCCACCCAGGCGCCCCTCAAAAATTTTTTTAACATTTGTTTATTTTTGAGAGAGAGAGAAAGAGAGCATGAGCAGGGGAGAGGCGGAGACAGAGGGAGACACAATCTGAAGCAGGCTCCAGGCTCCATGCTGACACCACAGAGCCCAACACGAGGCTTGAACTCACAAACTGCGAGATCATAACCTGAGCTAAGTCAGACGCTTAACCAGCTGAGCTACCCAGGTGCCCCGAGAGAGAGGGAGAGGGAGAGAGGGGAGAGAGAGGAGAGAGGAGAGAGAGGGAGAGAAAGAGAGACAGAGAGAGAGGAGAGAGAGAGAGAGAGAGAGAGAGACAAGTTTTAAGCAGCCTCCACACTCAGCTTGGAGTCTGATGCAGGGCTCCATTCCATGACCCTGGGATCATGACCTGAGCTGAAATCAAGGGTTGGACACTCAACGTACTGAGCCACCCAGGGGCCCCTGACAGAGTAGGCCCCTGACAGAGTATACCCAAGTTATTTCATAGAAAGTGATGTGAGCATTTTTTTTATCATGATACCTGAATTAACCTCTTCAGGGAAAAAAAGGGAAAATCAATGATCTCAAAATTATGGATCTCAGTTGACCTTCAGCAAGATATGTTACTGAAGACTCATATTTTTTGTTGTTGTTGTTTAACTGTGTTTCTCAGTGGGGAACTGTTGACATTTTCAACAGGATAGTTCTTCACTGCACCAAATTGTCCCATACATCCCTGGCTCCTACCCACTAAATGCAGGCAGCGTTCTTCAGTTGGTGTGACCACCCAAAACACCCCCATGTGAGAACTACTATTCTGTAAAATTTAGGATCTTTAAATTAGAGAAACAGTCTTGCTTTTTATATAATAGGCATTTAAACAAATTTCCTGTTGATTATTTTAATTATCAGTAATCTGTCATCAGATAGGTGATAATGTGCTTTAGCCTAATTCTGTTCACGTAATTAGTTATATTTAGTAAATGATAAAAGGTTCAGTTGATAATATATGTTTTAATATAATCTGAAATGAGAATTCTGTTAACAGTTTCCATTTAAAATCAAGGACTTCACCCTAGAAATTAACTCAAATATTTATGGAAGATCTACCTTAAAATTCAATATTTTACTGTTAAAAAGTTTAGGGGGAAATGTATGTTCATTTTCATGATGTCAATTACTCTTTTTGTTTTTCTTTCAGAATTGGTCCCTAGGAAAGAACTCCTTATAGAAAATGTGCCATACTGTGATGCACCAACTCAGAAAAAATGAGTTTTCTAGGATAAACTCAAGCTTTGTAGTTTTTAATCTTAAATATATAACTCTGGCAAAAGTTTTGGAAATGGAAATATTCCTCTTAGAACTGGCCTGTTGAAAATGAATGAAGTATTGCATCATAATTAAATTTCACATTAAATGAACATTGCTGAAAACTGCAGAACATAGTTAAATATTTCTAGACAGCATTAGATAAGAAGACCTGTAATTTGCATATAAAATCAAAGTTTATAAAGTAAAATGAACGCTTAGGGAGGCATGTCATACTCATTTCTCTTTGACCTTGATGAGTATTTTAGTCTCACCATAACTAAGAGTGCAGTGTTTTGACAAGTTGGTGGGTTTTCCTCCCATGTGAAATGAAACTGTTAGATTAAAATTATTAGATTAAATTTATGATTAGTCCCACAAACCTTAAATTAGTAAAAAATCATAGCATATACCAACTCTCTATAGAAAGTGGCCTTTGTTTCCTATAAAGCATTGACATTATTTCTGTAATTATTCTAACAAATAATTATACACTTTCATTTCAGAGACAGAGCATCTCTCTGTTCCTGTAAAGACATTTTTTTTCATAAGTCTTCTGAAGATAGATGAATAAAATATCAAAATCACCTAGGATCACTGTGGAATAAATCCGAATTTTTTTAGGAAGGAGTGACCCTTGATCAAACTATATAATATAGCCTTAGTAGAAATAGCTGTACTTAGACATAGCTAGACTTTATAATGAAAATGTAATACATGGCTCCATTCTTTCCATTTTAATCAATAAACTTAAATGGCTTTTTTTTCCCCACATATCCCATCCCTCCCTGACAAGATTGGGAATATCACAGAACAGTTTGTCATTGTACCCTCTAATGGTAGGAATTATAAAATTGTATTTAATAATCTTCTTGTTTTTCTTTTATCTGTGTGTCTTTACCATTCTCTGTTCTTAGTGAACAGTGTGTTCTTTCCTAATTCCCTGATAAGTTTTCCCAATAACAATACAGAGTTTTAAATTTTTGCAAGATTCTTTTTTTTCTTTAATATTTATTTTTGAGAGAGAGCACAAACAGGGGAGGGGCAGAGAGAGAGAGAGAGAGAGAGAGAGAGAGGGCGAGTGAGAATCCAAAATTGATTTTGCTCTGACAACAGGGCTCGAATCCATGAACTGTAAGATCATGAGCAGAGCTGAAACCAAGAGGCAGATGCTTAATCAACTGAGCTACCCAGGCACCCGTAAAATTTTTGCAAGATTCTTGATGCAAGCTTTGTTTTTTGGCAAAACATGGATATATCCATTCTGGATATGAAATGTTAGGTTTTAACGTAATTTAATTTTAAAACATAATAAAATAATTTAATTTTAGAAAATCAAAGATTTTTCTAAATTCCTTAAGACATATTATACTTAACATTAAGCCATCGACTATCCTTAATGCCTTCTAATACTTTTGAGGAGAGTAGTTAGTAGTCTGTGAAATGGTTTATACATGTCAAAAGATTTGCTATGTTAGTTTTTCATCTCCCATGTATATTTGTTACTTATGTGGAAATTATACCTACATAAAAATAAAAGTTGTTTGCTATTTGAAATTTGCCTTAATAAAAGTATGCTGAAAATTGTCATAATACCATCACTGGTAATTTGCCTGACTTACTACTGTTTCATTAAGTATATTATATATTTTAAGGAAATTTGCCTGACCTAGGTTAATTTAACATATTTTAATTATTTCCGTATTATTGAACAGTTTTAGCAGTTCTTAGCTTTCTCTCTTTAATCTTAATTCCCTTGTTCAATTCTTCACTCACATTAATTTAAATATCTCAACAGGGTTTTTTTTAATAGTTACCATTAAGAGCAATAGAGGTTAATAATTCATAGGTTTATTTTATTAAAATAGTGGCTTTGAGATTTTCTCCAAGATACATGTTTTAGATATATAAGAGAAAAGATCCTGTTTATATTAGCAAACAAAACTATAAAATAGAAATAGACTTTTTAGAGGTTCCTGGATGGCTCAGTCGGTTAAGCTGCTGACTCTTGATTTTGGCTTGAGTCATGATCTCATGGTTTGTGAGACTGAGCTTTGCATTGGGCTCCGCACTGCAGCGCAGAACCTGTTAGGGATTCTCTATCCCGTCTCTGTCTGTCCTCCTTGAGCAGATAGATACACACTCTCTCAAAAATAAATAAATTAAAAAAAAAAGGAAATGGACTTTTTTTTAAAAAAGCTGTAACTTAAAAATGAAAGATATACTATGTTCCTAGATGGGACAATTGAAAATTATGGAAGTGAACAGTTCTTTAAATGTTACCTATCAAAATCCCCAAAGATTGGAAGTCTGTCTAAATAAAAATATATAACTTGTACACTCTGTGAATGCTACTATAAATAAAGTTTACAGAAGATACTTGCTACCAACATAATGATTAAAATAGTTAAGATGTGGGGCGCCTTGGTGGTCAGTCAGTTAAGCTTCAGACTTCAGCTCAGGTCATGATGTGGCAGTTTGTGAGTTCAGATACCTTGTCAGGCTCTGTGCTGACAGCTCAGAGCCTGGAGCGTGCTTCAGATCTGTCTGTCTGTCTCTGTCTCTGTCTCTCTCTCAAAAGTAAACATTAAAAAGATAGTTAAGATGTAAATGTTCCTATGACAGTAAAAGATAACTCAGTGGAAAATGATCAAATGATATAAATTAAAAGTTCACAGAAGAAGAAATATTAAGCCTCACTAGTGATCAAAGAAATGTAAATTAAAACAAAACGAAACAATTTTGTTCATCAAATTTGCAAAAGCTAAAGAAGCTCAAGATACCCAATATTTTTAAAGGTCATAGGGTGTGAGGAAATGGGCAATCTCATATTTCTGGAAAGGATGTAAGTGATAGGGCTTTTTTGAAAGGAAAATTGACATCAAAATTTAAAATAAATATATTGTTCAGTCTTTATGTCAATAGCACACAAGAGTGCTAATAAATGAATACTCAGATATATTTACAGAAATTTCTGTAACATTATTTATAATTAAAAAAAATTGATAATAGCCTAAATTTCCAAACTTGGGGCGGGGAATTAAAGGAAATAGAGTTCTGGGATACTACACAGCAGTTCAAAAATTGATGCAAAATATATATATATTGTCAACTGAAAGAAGCAAGTCACAATATATGTTCTCTATGAATCCATTTACATACAAAAGAACTACTTTGCACAGGTTTGTGCATATACAATAAAATCTTGGGTTGCGAGTAACTTGTTCTGTGAGTGTTCCACAAGACGAGCAAACATTTCTAATAAATACTAACTTGATAAACGAGCAATGTCCTGCAGTATGTGTAGTACATGATGCCGAATGTCACATGATCACAACTGAGCCGATGGTTCTTGAAATTCACTTACATATACATTTGTTTTGGATTATAAGCATGTTTCTGGAACGAATTATACTTGTAAACCAAGGTTTTACTGTATATACAAATGAATAGAAATATACATGTTTAATGTTACTACAGTTGACCTTTGAACAACAAGGGCTTGAACTGCACAGATCCACTTATACATAGACTTTTTTTTATAGAGTACAATACTATAAATGTATTTTCTTGTCTTTATGATTTTCTTAATATTTTCTCTAGCTTTTTTTTTTAAAAGGATACAGTATATAATGCCTGTATAAAATATGTGTTAATCAACTGTTACTGTTAAGGCCAACAAGTAGGCTATTAGTTATGCTTGGAGGCATATCAAAAGTTATATGTGGATTTTTGACTGCACAAAGTTCAGCTAACCCCCATGTTGTTCAAGGGCCAAGTGTAGGTAGGTAAGAAAATGAGATTTGATGAAAGGACTGATAAATTGAGGATTTTTATTAGGATAACTCTTGCATGTTTAAATATTTTTTACAGTGAGTGTATCAATGTATAATTTTTAAAGGACAGTACTTAAGCTGCTAGTGATTTATTTAAAACTTAATTATGAAATAGTTCAGATATCAGCATCTAGTGTATGAGACACTCATGAGCCTAATTCCCACATTTGACAGATGTTAACATTTTGCCATATTTGTTTAAAGAGCTCCTTCCTTGTGAGTCACAAAATCTTAAAAAGTTAAAGTCCCACCTCTCTTTTCTTTCGCCTGTCTCTTTTCAGGTATAATTACTGTTTTACAGTTCATGGATATCATTCCCATACTTGTTTTTATACTTTTACCAAATGTGCATGTGTTCAAAACAATATATAGTGTTGTTTTGTGGTTTTAAAATGAAAATAAATGGTGTTATACTTCATGTGTTCTCGAGCTTATTTTCATCATACATGAGGTTTTAGAGATTATTTTAAAAAATTTTTTATATGAGATCTATTTTGTTGCATAAATAGCTAGGTCTTTTACTTTTATGTCTTATTCCATTGTAAGAATAAACTAGTTTATCCATGTCTCTTGATGAACAGTAGTATTGTTTTGTTTTTTGATATTGCAAACAAATTTACCAAAGATTCCAGCATGTGGATTTTGCACCCAAAGTTTACCTGAATATACACAAGGAAACAGAACCTTTGAGTCATAGGGTATGTACATATTCAATTCTTGCTAGAATTTTTAAATTGTTCTTCTTTTTTTTTTTTTTTAATGTTAGAGAACATAAGCAGGGGAGAGGGGCAGAGGAAGAGAGAGAGAATTTTAAGCAGGCTCCACACTTAGCATGGATCCCAGTGGCAGGGCTCGATCCCACATCCCTGGGATCATGACCTGAGCCAAAATAAAGAGTTGGTTGCTCACCTGACTGAGCCACCCAAGTAACTCTTAAATTGTTCTTTAAAGTAGTTGTACCACTTTATATTCCAGTCAACACTGTATGAGAAGCCCCATTTTTCCATATCTTCACTGTTAGTGTTATATAGGACTTTTCACATTTTTGTCAAATATTTGGATATGAAATGGTATCATTTTTTTTTTAAGTTTATTTTCAGAGAGACAGAGTACGAGTCGGGGAGGGCAGTGAGGGAGGGAGAATCCAAAGCAGGCTCCATGCTGCCTCACAGAGCCTGGTGAAGAGCTCGAACCCACAAAACCCTGAGATCATGACCTGAGCCAAAACCAAGAGACAGACGCTCAACCGACTGAGCCACTCAGGTGCCCCATGAAATGGTATCATGTTTTAATTTGGATTTCTGTATTACTGGTGAGATCATCTTGTACTTACTAGTCGTTACAGTTTTCCTTTATGAATGTGTGTTCATATCCTGTGTCCTTTTTCTTTTGGATTGTCTGGCTATTTCTCACTAATCCTTTTTATATGCTCTGGGTACTAATCTTGTGTTACCTGTAAATGCTTTCTTCCATAACGTGACTTGTATTTTAACACTGTTTATCATCAACCTGTATTATGGGAGCTTATTTTAGTGTATCCATTTTAAAAGATTTTTTATTAATTTTGCTTTTGTACCTTTTTAAGTAATATTTTATACTCCATAGGCATAAAGATGTTCTAAAACATTTTCCTCTGAACATTAAGGTTTTGCTTTCTATATTTGGGACTTAATGCCATCTAGAATTTATTTTTTTTATATATGAGGGAGGGATTTACCTTTTTTATGGGAAAATTTTGCCTCAGGATCATTGATTGGATAACCCATCCTTTTTCTGATTACGTGTAAAAGAACTTTGATCATATCTCAAGTTACAATATATTAGAATCATTTAAGGACATAGCTATTTACAGACTTGGTTTCTACAATTATCCCTCTTCTCCCCCAAATCTATTTTTTCCCCCCCCTCTCTCTACTGGATTGTTCTCAATGGCATTCAACATTCCGGAATATTTCCTTTGTTAAAAAAAAAAAAACTTTATTGAACCCACCTCTGCCCTTGAGCTTCAACACCACATTTTTCTGCAGTTTTTACTAAGAAAAAACTGTCCTTATCAGCACTTCTCTCCCCATTCTATCTTATACAGACCCCACTCAAGGCTTAATCCCTACCACTGCAATCAAACCCTTCTTGTCCCAGTTACTGGTGACCTCCACTTAGAGGTCCAAAGGTCAGTTTTTAGTTCTTACTTTATTCATCCTCTCAGTAGCAGTTGGCATAATCAATCATTCCCTCTTTTTTGAACAGAGACCTAGACACTCATTTACTATAAACCTATTGTATGATACAAACATGGACCCAAGTAACAAAAATGCCTGCCTTGTCTTCTATTTGTTATTTTAGAGCCACTCTCAGCCTTTCTTGATCCTGGTCTCAGCCTCCTCTGTGAGGACTGACTGTGTAAACCAGCTCCAAGTGGCTTCTGTACTTTCTGACTTTGGGTTGGTTCGGCTAATGGGGGATGCTGGCAGGATATCAGGAGGGAGGAAAATGAGGGCAGTTACTTATCTTTCTGACTGTATCCCTGAGAAGTTGCCTCAGGCTGTACTATCCTCAAAGCTTCTCTCAAGGTGGGTTCTGTACAGTTCTTGCCTTCCAGTTTGCATAAGAGCTTCCCTTTCCTTTTCAGGCCTGGGGTTGCAACAGCTTATCTGTTACTATCCACATGGGTTCCCCTACACTCATAGTTTTATAAATAGTGACTTTACATGTAAATCTTTCTCAAACTGCCATATTTTTTTTTTCAAACTGCCATATTTTAATTCACTAATTCACTGCCCTGAGGAAACTTACTTATGGAGGTGAGAGACAGATGATAGGCAAAATTAACAAGTAAATTAGAAGGTGATAAGTAATGTGGAGAAAGATAAGGCAGGAAAGGAAGATAGGGAAGCTGGGAACAATAAGGTGTTGCAATTTTAAATGTGATCAGCGAAGGTCTCACCAAGAAAGTGATAGTTGAGCAAAGACAAGGGTATGAGAGATCTAGACATACATATATGCAAGGGGAGAGTTTTCCCTTACAGCAAACTGCTAGTGCAAGGTTCCTAACACTGGCTCATGCCTACTCTCATGGAAGAAAGCCCAGTGACAGGAGGAAAGTGACTTACGGAAAGAGTAGTAGTAGATGCAGTCATAGAAATGATAGGATAGAGCTGGGGAGGGGGCGCCTGGGTGGCGCAGTCGGTTAAGCGTCCGACTTCAGCCAGGTCACGATCTCGCGGTCTGGGAGTTCGAGCCCTGCGTCAGGCTCTGGGCTGATGGCTCAGAGCCTGGAGCCTGTTTCCGATTCTGTGTCTCCCTTTCTCTCTGCCCCTCGCCCATTCATGCTCTGTCTCTCTCTGTCCCAAAAATA